ACTAAGCCAAGTCTGGTAATTTCTAACTAGAAGATGAAATTTGAGAAGTCTAGTTTCATAATAAATCCTTAGATTATGGGTTTGATCTATAAATTTAAGCATGGAATTAAAATAAGGAAATGTGACAAATCTGTGTCATAAACACCCTTGAAATTTGTTTAGAATTATTTATAAGTTATTTTTGGGAAAAGCTTTCTGAAAAATAACCATAACATGTTTATTGAGTATCCTGTAGATTGATATGAATTTTAGAGTTGTATAAGTAATGTATTTATAATTTTATTTGCAAGATATATACTCTGAAAATTTTCTGGACAGAATAAAATCACCACTTTAATATTATGTTAGTCTAATTTTGTAAATCAAAAATTTGTGCATGTGTGTATTTAGGGTTTAATTCTTGTATCTAAGTTATTATTTCATACCATGGTTTAAATAAATTGTTTATTTAAATTCTGTACTTTTATTTAGTATTGTGTGACCCATGCAATATTTTATGATTGGGAATTTTAATGAGTTGGTATAACATTACTTGTGATTAAAAATTTGGAGTTATTTGTGATTAATATCAAAATTAACTGAAATGATTAACGGCATATACAAAGTTAACAATCGACGATTAATACCAGTTGTTCGGGGTGAGTCTTGGTTTAAAGACTGTACGGAATTAGGAGTTGACGGTTAACACCGGTTGTTCAGGGTGAGCCCTGGTTTTGAGAATTCTCACGTTAATTGTGTTGCGAAACTCTAAGATGGCACGGGACTTATTTGAACCCTTTTCGGTATTCGGTTTTGGAATAAGGGTGGATGTGCAGGTGGCACACAGGGAGGTTGCTTACCCCTGGAAGACCGTTTCCTTGGGGCAGACCACGGATGCCACTACTTGGGTATATAACTCTGGACGTGGGCATCCCTGGTAGTTACGGTTGGTAACACTTAAATATTTGACCAAGGGAGGGTTTCAAATTAACCGTTGCCATGCTTAGTGGTTGGTAAGTTAAATCTCTTTGGTGAGATTTCGAGTGTCACCTAAATTATTAAAATTACTGAAACTATTCTAATGGTTGTAATTTTTGTATATAATTATATTGTTATCTCATGTTTAGAATATTATTATTTGTCTCTTAAAAAGAATGGTAGGTTGGTTACGTTTTCTTACTGTGTTGCAAAACTCATGGCATATATTTTGTTGCCCTGGCGTTTCATGCCAGATTATGTTGAAGAAGGGACTGAGGCTGAAATTGGAGCTGCTGCCAATATCGAACCTTGGCTGACTTAGAGTCAATATTTTGTCAGAATAAAATCCTGTTATCCATTGTATTAGGATTAAACTATGTTGTGACGTTGTGTGTGAACTTGTAGTTTTATTCTGTCGTTGGACTTTGGCTTTGTAAGAACTTAAAAGTTCCTAACTAGTAGTTAAAATTTTATCTAGCAAGTTATTGTTATTTAAATCTTATGACGTTTCAAAAAAAAAATTTTGGGGCGTCACAACCACTGCCCACCATAGAACTTTTTCTTTACCGTCTTTATCGTTACCGTCACTTGTCGCATCCACAACCTTAGATCTAAGATCATTCACAGTCATCGTCAATGGAAAATGATGGTTCTCGACAGTTTGCAAACTTGAGATCTGAGATCCTTTACTCTCTCTCTAGTTCTGATGGTTCATACTCTCTCTCTATGTGTGTGTGTATGTGTTTCTCACCATTTCTCTCTCTCTCTCTCTCTTCTTTTTCTTCTCATGATCCTCTGTTTTCGAACTCTGTCTCCCTATTTCTCTTTCTTATTCTCATGATGCTCTGTTCTTCGAAGTAAAATTTTAGCTTTTTTCAGAGTAAAATTTTACTGTATAATAAAAAAAAGAGTAAAATTTTACTATTGTTAAGTAGATCAACATGCTGTTAACTAGAGTAAAATTTTACTGTTACAAAAAATAGAGTACATACTAAATTAATAAACTAGGGTTAAATTTTACTTTTAGATCTATGAACAAATAAACAAAAAACTCTTGATTTTTCATTGTAATATATCGATTTCTCATTTTTTTTTAAATCAAATACAAGTTTTTTTATTTTTTATTTTATCTCAAATCTAAAGTTATTAATCTCAAATATGAGTTCATAGGTATCAAATCTGAGATGGTGGTAGTTTGACGGTAAAAATGGTGGTTGTTGGCCGACTATGAGGATGAGCAACGCCGGTAGACGATGAAGATGGTGGAGATGATGACCAACCATATGGAGTTGGTGATGAGAGAGAGTGTGTTGGAAAAAAAAGAGAATAAAAAGATAGTATAATGATCAAATAAAATATTCAAAGAATAAATTTTGTCCTTCATATAGGACTTTATATGTCATGACCTAAACTCACTCCTATAGGTTTAGTATCATAACCGGTCAGTAATCTTTTAATTACCAAAGGCCTCTGATCTGGGCTGCGGAAATAAATATATAAAATACATTGTCCATTGAGTTGTGCTGACGTACATGAGATATAAATTTAAAACTTGAATATACATATATGACGTCAAGGTTTCATAAATCAAGCATTATCACACAAATATTAACAAAAGGGGGCTTAGCCCTGTGTACATGTATCCAAAAACAAATAAAAACCAAAACATCCTTAATGTAAGCCACAAAACTTGCCTTCTTCCAACGAGAACAAAAGGCTGGCTCACAAAACTCAATTCTAGGCCATCAACTCGGGGCCTGGTCATGTGCCTGATCACTTACATACATAATATAAATAGTGAGCGAAAGCCCAGTGAATAACAACAGAGTAAAGGGGGTTAAATGAATGATGTCCTAGATCAGATTCAGAAAACAAACTTCATTTCAAAAACAGACTCGTAATCATATTCTTATTCAAATCTTATACAGAAATCAGACTTCGTGCTTAATCATACATGGTACATCCATTAGCGCTGACAGATCAAATGCAGAGCATATAGGGTCATGCTTGCCAGTTCCAATAAGGAATATCTGGTACTAGGAACAGATAACATACTTGCCAGTTCCACAAAGGAACCTCTGGTACTGGGAACAAATAACATACTTGCCAGTTCCATAAAGGAATCTCCAGTACTGGGAACAAATAACATACTTGCCAGTTCCATAAAGGAACCTTCGGCACCGGGAACATATAACATACTTGAGCTACGGAATTGTTGCCACGAATACTTTCAATATATGGACAATCATTCATTGTAATCGTTCCATAAAGCAAATCTTATTGCATCATACAAAAACTAAATAATATAGCTTTACTAAGTTATTACTCACAGATGGTTCCAAAGCAAACAACAGAGCAGACAAATCAGGTAGCTTACGGTGCGTGACCTACACAAATATAGAACGAGTACGCACCGAATTATACACTCGAAATCATTAACTTAGTTATTTATTCTTTAGGTGTGTTTCTACTTCTTATCCTCATTATTATGTTTTAACTAGGGCTTAGGAATGCTTAGGATGCAATGAGGATGCCAAAACATGTTGTTTAACACTTAGACAAATTTGCTGAAAACAGGGTCTTCGCTCGAGCGCAACTTTCTTCGCTCAAGCTGAGATTCAAAAATGTGAGGGGCCGCTCGAGCGGTCTGTAAACTCTGAAAAAGTACTAGTTGCTTGATTTTTTCACTCGATGCACCCTTGATGGTCGCTCAAGCGGTCTGCAAAAATGTGTCAACTTCTGGGAGCATGCAATTTACGCTTGAGCCAACTTTTGATCGCTCGAGTGGAGGTTCAAAACACAAAGTGGCCGCTCGAGCGCAGGATCTGTCGCTCGAGCAGTGAGGTAGAATCTGGAATTTCCAAATTGCTCTCCTAAGTTCAAAACTCAAATTTAAAGTTATAAATCATGGTCTTTTGGGCCAAAAACTTGAGGAAACACTTATAAACTAATAAAACTTGGTGAATTCAAAATCATTTTACAAAATCAAGGCCCAAAAGCTTGCCAATTGCTCAAAATTCAACGTGAAACTTAAGAATGTAATGTGAACATAACATGCATGAATTATTATGAGCTTGAACTTTCCAAAACCTGATCAATTAAGGTCAAATGGTAAGAAATGTGATGAATTCTCAAAACAAAGTCAAGATAGACACATGTATCTGGGATTTGTTTGAAATTCAAACTCAAAATGCTATGATATATTTTCTTGCATGCATGAACCATGCTCAATTCTATTATCTAAGCTTAATTTTTGTATTTACTCTTTCAATTCTCTTGCACTCATTCTCTTATTGAGCCAGACACTTAATTCATGGGTTGAATTCTTACCTTAAGCTTGAGTTCACAAGGGTGGAAGCTAAATTCTCCTAAATCTTATTCAATTCCCTCAATTCTCCTTAATTGAATTCAAATCTCCTCTTTCTCTTTCTCTCTCAAGTTTGTTGTGTGCATAGGCTCAAAGATGAAGAAAATGAATGAGTTGAAGCACATAAGGAGCCTTATATAGGCTTACCTAGTGGTGATTAATTAAAGCTACTCAAATAGGCATTACTTATTTTAATTTAATTGCTTCGAATTGAATTTTAATTAAACCTACCATAAAGTCTGAAAAATTTCATGTAACACATAAATCAAGTTAATTTCATAATCGGATACTGATAAGGTCGTCAATTCGAGAACAAAGTGGAAACATGAACATATATTTCTACAATAAACAAATAGAAACACAAACAATTCAACACGCATGCAATTAATGTAGAATTTCTTTTTAATTACTTATTAGACATCCTTAAATATGATTTATCAATTAATCATGAGTCGGAATTGTTACATTATAATTAGTAGAGGGATTTAAAAATATTAAAAAAATTTATCCTTTTAACAAGAAAAGAAAGCTAAGACGGATTTATGGTCAAATTTTTCTATTTATTATGTAATTTATATTTGGAAATTCTCATTTTATGTGATGAGCAATTAAATTATTTAATTAATTTTTTTTTTTTAAAGAAAGGAGTGGTGATAGAAGGAAGAAAAAGAGCTTTCCGTCGTTGGTTTCACCACCTCCGCTCGCTCCCACTCACTCTCCTCTCTCTCATCTGCCTCCTCTCTCTCTCTCTCTCTCTCTCTCTCTCTCTAGACTGATTCATCCGTGGGAGGACGACGACGGAGAAGCAGATCCGTGGTTCAGAAAAAAGAAGGATGAGCTTCGATTCCGTCCCTTCGAGCACTCGTGGCAACCTCGACGAGCAGATTTCTCAGCTCATGCAGTGCAAGCCTCTATCCGAGCCTGAGGTTTATTTTTTTGTTTTTTTTCGATGAATTATTGAAAATTTATGATACTGTGAGTCATTTACTTGTTCTATCTGAGTTATAAATGATTGGAATCGATTCGCGAGTTTTTTTGTAGGAAAAATTATGTATTTTTGTCAAATTACCCAGTGATCTGAACTTTCAGATGACCTTTCGGGGTTTTTTAGAGCTGACTTAGCGGTGGATTTTGAGTAGATCCGGATGTTTCGGATTTAGACTTATGTGGTGATTGAATCTGATCCGTTATTTGGGAATTTTGGCGAATCATGGGGAAAAAATGGTGCAACTTTGATTCTTAGGTCCAGTTTGGCCGGAGGGATTGGATTAGGGATAAAGTGAAAAAGTAATACCTAGCTAGTACAATGGATGAGATTATGGCACCCATTTGGTGCAGCTTATTAGGGTGCTTTTGTGTTTTAGGAAGTTTTTGTAACAGCTTACGCATGAAAATGACCTTTAAGTCCCAAAAAAAAAAAAAGAGAGAAGATTTTTTGAGGGGCTGGGAGATGTTTAGTTTTTAACTTGCAGTAAGCTACACCATGTTGGGCTAGTGTTGAATAAAACATTAGATTAGAGGAAGATGATCTTTGGTCGTTGGATGGCCCAAGTGGGTATTTGTTTTCCCCATTTTAGGATATAATGTTTGGTAGGACATCATATGCCAAGCTAAAAATGCAACCAAACACCAGACAATAAAACTTATGGACAATATGGGACCTACAGGATAACAAATCTCACCAACCCTTGGTGTCAAACGGGGCATCAGTGACCTTAAGTTCAAAAATTAAATTTTGCCTTATTGCAGTACAGTTGCAGTGGGACCCTTCGGCCACATGGTGATTTGGTGAGTGTAAGGTTTTAAAAATTGTCGCAACCGTTATCTAACGTCATTACGTAACGGTTGTGGTGGTTACCGCCATATGTTGCGGCCTTTATAGCGGTGTGACGGAAATTCACATGTGTAATGGCCGTTTTGGTGTTACGTAACGGTACCATAACAGCCGTAACGGTCCGTTAGATACCGTTATATTATATCCTTCTACAATATTCTGAATAACTTTCTTTTTCAAAAAAAATAAAAATAAAAACTTATAAAAAAAGAACAAGTACTCAAGTGATTTAAGTCCCAAAAAATTTTTTTATATGAATTTTTTTCTTTATAATTTTTTTTAATTTATGACACAATTTTTATTTTATAATCATTTTATTTAATAATTGTGAATATTTTTTATTCATTTAGTTTAGGTATTAATAAAAAATAAATTGTAGACATTTAAAATTGATTATTCTTAAAGTCATTAACTATTGAAATAATATGTAAAAAGCTCATTTTATAGCGATTTAAAAATATGAAATATACTAGATCCAAGGTTTTAAAAAACGGCCGCAACCGTTACGTAACGGTTGTGGTAGTTACCGCCATCTCTTATAGCCGTTATAGCAGTGTGATGGAAATTCACATGTGTAATGGCCGTTTTGGTACCGTAACGGTCCGTTAGATACCGTTACACCCTTTTACAACATTCTGAATAGCTTTCTTTTCAAAAAATGAAAATAAATAAAAGTTTACAGAAAAAGAATAAATATTCAAGTGATTCAAATCTAAAGAAAAAATTTTATATGAATTTTTTTCTTTATAATATATATCTTTTAATTTATGGCACAATTTTTATTTTATAATTCTTTGATTTAATAATTGTGAATATTTTTTATTCAGTTAATTCAATTATTGGTAAAAAATAATTTATAAACATTTAAAATCAATTATTTTTAAAATCAATTATTTTTAAAATCATTAATTATTGAAATAAAATGTAAAAAATTTCTTTTATAGTGATTTGAAAATATGAAATATATTGGATCCTACTAAAAATTAACAAAAATAGATCAAAATTTATTTTAAATCCCAATAAATGTGATTTTGAAGGAAAAAAAAATACATATCGGTAAGTTTTTTTCAAATTGTGTGAAAAATAAAAAAAAAATCACGGTTCCAGTTACCGGTTACTGCAACCGCTACGCTACGGCCTTTACATCCTGCAACAACTACTGCGTCACTGCAACTGTTACGGTGATCGCAATCGCTTTTCAAAATCTTGATTAGATCATACTTAAAAATTAACAAAAAATGATCAAAATTTATTTTAAATCTCAATAAATGTGATTTTGAAAAAAGAAAATATGAGTATCCGTAAGTTTTCTTCAAATTATGCGAAAAATAAAAAAAAATCACTGTTTCGGTTACCGCAACCGTTACGCTACGGCCTTTACATCCTGCAACTGTTGCTGCGTCACCGCAATTATTACGACGGCTGTAACCGCTTTTCAGAACCTTGAGTGAGTGGCTCTGCGGTAGTCCATTCAATCTTTACCATAGATGTAGAAAAAAAATACTTGTTAACAATTGAGGTGGTATATGGATATGGATGTTCATGTTGTAGATTTTGATTGTGTCGTCTTTCTCGTTCCCGTTGCAACACCCATTGTGGGTTACCGATACCACTTGTTGGAGTTCTTAGTTATTGACAGATAAAGGGGATTAAAATGCCTTTTCCTTATTGAAGTTGAGAAATCTTAACTGAAATTAACTTGTGACTAGAGTATATAGATATGTTCTTGGTTACAATCACAGGTAATAAATTCAATGCATCTTTAAAATATTGTTTAACAAAGTATGCAATAAAATCTGTGTTTATTAGATTTTGCTTCCGTATTATGTCAATGAATCCCTGGGGATTAGTTGGACTTTAATCCGGACAAATAATAATAATAATTAAAAAAAAAAAAAAAAAAAAAAAAACTTCAACTAGATTCTTCAGTGCCACCGGGTCAAATTATCATGTTTTTAAGTGCAACACTTGTGATCATGCTGTTACACATTTTTGCTTAAAACTTATAGGATGTAACAAACATCTAAAGTTCAATTAACAAGCCAAATCTGATCTCAATTTCCTATCATCAATACAAAAGATGCCAATCAGTGACATATCCTTCAACAAATAGCAAATAAACAAAAACAATTTCACATAAAATATATTTTTATTTCCACAAGGTTGTAATTGTGGTGTCCATAAACAAACCATGGGTGTATAGACATTTCCCTCTTCTCATGGTATTTACCTTTATTTTGACCAACACTTTTAGACCAATTGCTATTACAGATCATAGTCACCATTATCTCAATATATATGTTAATAACATCCCATTCGGCTTTTGTATTCATCCACAAACTTCCACAGTTAATAACACAACATAATAACTAAGCACCATCAATCAACCACAAATAGATTAGTAAACAATTACCAATCAGTTATCAACGTTTGATGTTTGGACGTAGTGTTTGATTAGGTGCAATCTAAATAAACATATGGGTATACACATGTGTTCTCATTTACACTTAGCATCAAAAGTCACGCATTTCTTAAAGTTTGCTTTTGTTCCTGCAAGAGTCCAGACTCTTCTCATAGTTTCCCTCTCAGATAATTGCTACACTGACTGAAATTTGATCATATCTCATAACCATTATAGCTCAATTATTGGAAAATCTATTACAGTGAATGAAAAACCATTACAACTTGATTATTCCTGTATCATGATAAATGAATAAGGATGTTGTCAAAGAAGCTTTTCATTTGTCGCTTGCATTTTAAGTAGAGGCCATAGATTTGACCCTTATCCAGGACAAGCATCTATATATTAATCCAATTTCCCTTTTTATTGGTGAGGAACTTTTGTTATCTGTACGACCTAGTCTCACAGAACTCACCTTTTAATGGATATCTTTCTGTTTTGGCATAATAAGAAAGGATTCTTCAATGACATTTTTTTTTTTTTGTAGGTTAGGATGTTATGTGAGAAGGCTAAGGAGATTCTAATGGAAGAAAGCAATGTTCAGGTATGTCTTTTGTTTATAAATTGGCGCTATTTGGCCAGTCATTGTTTCTGTTAAAAATTGGGAAGAATCTTGAGATCTGGCACGCACGCGTGCACACACACATATATATAATGAAGTTAATCCTTGGAGAAACAAAAAGCTACCCTTTTAATCTCCCAAAGTTGGCTCCCTGTGTGCTGTGAACACTGCACACTGCCATTACATTTTTTGTTGCTATGGGTCATCAGTGGGTGGCTCCTAAGCATTCTCCTACAAATGAGAAAAAAAAGAAAAAAAAAGAAAAAAAAAAAGAGAAAAGAAAGTCCCTATTATATTATGCCATTCCCATCAACACTCATGTGTCCCCAGGGACAATGCAAAGAAATGACGTTTTGATATTCTTAGACCCACACATGGGTAGAAAAACAACATAAGGGAAACTTAGCTGATAAAAAAAAAGGGTTGAAAGCAAACTTAACTCTTACATGCAAGTTTTTTTCTTTCTTTCTTTTAAAAGGTTGTTTTTCTTCCACTTTTGTCCTTTTCTTTGGGGTTAGGCGGTGAGGAAACTGGTTAAGTGGGTTGCTTGATATGCTTTTTGTATTTGCATCGTATATGTCATTTCAGTTTATATATGATCTTAGTTTGTGCAAATCCTAATTAGTCTTTCCTTTTGGGGGGGTCTATGCAGCCTGTGAAAAGCCCGGTAACGATCTGTGGTGATATTCATGGGCAATTCCATGATCTTGCAGAGCTTTTTCGAATTGGAGGGAAGGTATTAATCTAATTTAAACATTTTGTATGATATACAAATTTAGGTAAGGATATGGTGATTGTATGATTGATTTCCACTGCTAATAGGATTACTATGTCTTCTGAAGATTAAAATGCCTGAACTTTTCAGTTGCATTGCCACTTAAAGATCCAAGATTTCATAGTATGGCTGTGCTATGTGTTGCCACATGAATGTTGTTGGGATTTTGTTGGCCATCTATAGTGCTTAACTTGGAATTGGATTCGTGAATAATTAGATGCCTACTTTTAAAGGGAATCAATAAAAAAGGCAAACTCATTATTAAATTATTTCCATCTGGCATTTGAAACCCAAACTCATTAATCTTTGCACTCATTGTGCCATAGAACCCTAGTCCACTTGCTATTGTCTATTCTGTAAGTCCTTCAGCTCAAAGTGACTTTATGCAAATATTTGATCCAAATCTTTTACCTGCTAATCCACCAACGTACCACAATGATAGAACACAATTCTGAAATCCAACCACATAAATTTAAATTCTTAAATGACCCCTATTGTTTATTTTCATATCGATACATGCATTTCTATGAATATTTTTGAAACAATTCCTTACAAAGAAATGACATTATAAAATAGTAGATTTGACATAAATAAATTCTGGCAGATATAAATTGTGACATATATTTTCATATACAATATCATAAATGATCAAATAAAAAAAAAAAAGTAAGCACAAATTATGTTACCCATAAATTCTTTTGTTTGTATGTTTGTGTGACTGTAGTCGTGTGTTGACTTTTTAAGGTTGCCATATTGTATGCTGTGTGTCCATGTTGACACTCAACAACGTCCCTGGCTCCTGATTGTAGTCAATATGTTTTTTTTAACCAGGCTTTCACTATTTGCTAATCACACCAATAAAAAAAAAAAAAAAACGAAAAAAGAAAAAAAGAAGAACCTTCTACTATTTCATAATCAGCTATGTCATATGATGAAGGTGATAATATCAATATATTCTTCTAGTAAAATTCGATAGTGTCTACATATTATTTTTTAAATTATTCGTTTATTATTATTAATATGTTTATTTTTATATGATAATTATAGTTTAATATTATTCACGTTGCTTGGTTATCATTTTTCAAAAACACTTTTCAAAAAATTCTACTTTCTTATTTTCCGTGTTTTTTTTTTTGTTTTTACTGATTTTTTAAAATATTTTAAGCAATTTTTAAAATTTGTAGACATACTTAACATAAATATACATAAAAAGTAAAGTTTTTTTGAAAAAAACCGTTTAAAAATTCACTAAATACCAGAAATACAAAAAAATGAGAATTCAGTATATTTTTTGTATTTTTATGTATTTATTAATTTTTTAAAATATTTTTTCACAAATTTTTTACTTTTTGGATACATCTAAGTAAGAAAAAAAAAAAAAGGAAAAAAGAAAAAAGAAGAAGCTTCTACTATTTCTTAATCAACTATGTCATATGATGAAGGCGATAATATCAATATATTCTTCTAGTAAAATTCAATAGTGTCTACATATTATTTTTTAAATTATTCGTTTATTATTATTAATATGTTTATTTTTATATGATAATTATAGTTTAATATTATTATTATTTTTGGAAGCTGTTTGCTTGTTCATCACCTTAAAGTTACAAGTGTAAATGAGGTCTCAAGTTTTGAGGAAGCAAAGACAGGAGAGGAGAGTAGTGGGGAAGAGTTGAGAGCTTGTCATGTCATCCTGATTCTTTGTTCTTAAATGCAACATATTTAAAAAATGGGAAAAAAGAAAAAAGAAAAAAAGAAACAGAAAAAGCTGAAAGTCATGAGAAATTAATAACAAGTTGAAACAGTATTATTAATCACACGAACACTGTAAAAAATGCAATAACCTATCTCTAGGAGTTTTTGTCACTGAATCAAGCCTCTTTGCTTGTTTGTATCTTGGTTGTAAACTTACTTGTGTACCTTCATTTGGATATGCTAGTACAAATATGCATCAAATTGTTTATCTTATTAAGTTTATGTTTTTGAACTTATTTTTATAGAAATTTTGATTAAATTGATTTATGGTTGCCTTTTTGTGATTGGTAGTGTCCAGATACAAATTATTTGTTTATGGGAGATTATGTTGATCGTGGCTATTATTCAGTTGAAACTGTAACGGTAAGTGCACGTTTTCTATTGTTTACTAATGTGTTGTGGATAATCAATTAAGGAACACTTACTGCCTTAGCTGGTAAAATAATTGGATATACTAGGATTACATAATGGTGCACAAGGTCTTTCTTTTTTTTTTGTATGTATTACCCAATGAAAATGATTTACCTTGAATTTTCCTTGTGTTAATTGAAGTGTTGCGACTGTTGTTCTGATACTGATCAATTCATGCATTCAGCTTCTGGTGGCCCTGAAAGTGCGCTATCCCCAACGAATTACTATTTTAAGAGGAAATCATGAGAGTCGGCAGGTATACTGGTTCTGTACTCTGTTGTTATGTTTTCATTAATGTATTCCCAACTTCCCATGACTAGAAAATGGCTGCAAAAGGAATTGCATGATAGCTATAATTGATTATATCCACATACATCATAATTTGATTGAATAAATGTCCTTCTTTCTTCCATATTGGTGTAGCCTTCTTTCATTTTACTTTGAAAATTCTTTTGCCGATTAGTTCATGGTTTATGAATTCTTTTCTAGGCACTGGATGGTTTGTGCTGAGTGGTTTCTGTTTTGGGTTGCAGATCACTCAAGTTTATGGGTTTTATGATGAATGCCTACGAAAGTGAGTTCCTCACACCTTTTGCTTTTAGGAGGTTAAAAGTTTGTACTGAATGATGAAGTCATGCACTTTGTGGCTTACAAGTTTAAGGCCCAATCTCGAATATGTCTGCTTAATTTTAGCCTCCTGTTCTATGCACAATGTCTGCTTTTTATCTTGTACAGTTTTTTAACATTTTGCTTGGTTTTGGAATCTCTCAAGTGGACTTCTTTCCTTGGAAGCCCATTTAGAGATTTTTGTGAAGCATGGTGAAATATTGTTGACTGGCCTCTCTAGGAAGCTGCAACTTCCTAATTTTTGTTATTTATTGTTGTTGAAGTTGATGCTTTTTAAGACTGAATCATAGCTTACCGACAAGGTTTTAAAAAGCGGTCGCAACCGTTATGTAACGCCGTTACATAACGGTTTTGGCGGTTACCGCCACCCGTTACAGCCGCTTTTGCAGGGTGATTGAGATTCACAGGTGTGTCGGCCGTAGCGGTCGTAACGGTGCCGTAACAGCCGTAACGGCCTGTTACGCACCGTTACGTAACGGTTCCAAACTATTTTTTTCGAAAAAACATACAAAAAAAAAATGAAAATTGAGGAAGAGGGATAGAGAGAACAGGGAAGATAAAGAGAAAAAATGGAGGAGCAAGAGATAGAGAGAGAAGAGGGAAAATGAAGAACATGTTATTGATTTGTTGAAATTGTAAGACCTATACTATTCTATTCAGCTGCTATCACTAAACTATTTTGTTTGTGTGTATCTATCTATATATTGTTTGAAAATAATAATAATAATAAGTGTGGTCATTATCTATTTGGCTTGGTTAAAATATGTATATATATATATATATAGGCTCTTATTTATTCTCTTACTTTTGTCATTGTTTATCTTATATATAATAGTTAGTGATTGATTTTTTGTATAATATAAAGTCATTAATTATTAAAATAAAATGTTAAAAACTCAATTTATAGTGATTTAAAAATATGAAATATATTGGATCATACTTAAAAATTTATAAAAATTGATCAATATTTATTTTTAACCCAATAAATATGATCATGAAAAAAAAATATGCGTATTGGTAATTTTTTTTTCAAATTGTGCGAAAAATAAAAAAATTCATGGTTCCGGTTACCGCAACCGTTACACTACGGCCTTTACACCCGGCAACCGCAACAGCGTCACCGCCACCGTTACGGCGACCGCAACCGCTTTTCAGAACCTTGTTTGGGTCACTTTCTTATTCCGCTTCTTGTTCCTTTCTTCTTTCTTTCTTTTTAAAAATTGGTTGGTTTACATATATAAATCTGTGCTGTTAAGCGTTCTCTTGCTTTTGTTTGCAGATACGGTAATGCCAATGTGTGGAAGATCTTTACAGATTTGTTCGATTATTTTCCTCTTACAGCACTGGTTAGTATGGCTTTTAACATATGTATCAATCGTCTGTGAATCTTGAATTTGAGAGAAAAGAAAATCAATTAAATTACATTTCTATGCTACTTATTCGTCGTGTTTAGAATAGGCATTTTTGCCTTATCCCCAGACCAAAATTCTACTACAACTATTTGCATTGTCTGCACTGTGACGACTGTTGACTATGCTACAATTGTATCTGTTTTCCTGATTATTTGTAAATATATCATATATCATTTCTGCCCTTACACATAGATTTACTTATATACCATGCAACAAAAAGCAATAATGCAGCACTTCTTGCTTCCTTCAGTAGTTTTGCTCTTGCATTCTTATTTCGAGGTTTGCATCCTAGGATCAAGTTGTACTCTGGTTTTCTAATTTCATTCTTAGAGTTGTTCTCTTGGACTTCCAAAAGTCAGTCTGAAGATTGAATTAGCTGCATTTAAATGAGTTAGTAATTTCACTATGACTTCCTATCTAATTGAGGTTTCATTGCACTCCCAATTTGTTTCCATTGACTGCGTACCTCATTTTTTGGATGGTCTTGGTAGACAATCAAAGTGTTCTGAATCATATGCTGCATCCGTATATATTAAAATGGCCTGAAAACAAAGAAATGTGATTAATGTTTTAATTCTTGCCATTCATGATATCGTTTTTCATTATATTTTTTAGGGACTTTGGTGTTGATTCATGATGTTTTCTAAATTTTAGGTTGAATCTGAAATCTTTTGCCTCCATGGTGGATTATCCCCCTCCATTGAAACCCTTGATAACATACGTAATTTCGACCGTGTTCAAGAAGTTCCTCATGAGGGGCCAATGTGCGATCTTTTATGGTCCGACCCTGATGATCGTTGTGGTTGGGGTATCTCACCCAGGGGTGCTGGATATACTTTTGGCCAAGTATCTTAATTCTTCCTTCCTGGTGTATCTTTCTTCCAGTTCCAGAAAAAATAAAAAAGTAAAAAAACTTTATTTTCTAACCACTTGCATGGTTCTTGCAGGACATATCGGAGCAGTTCAACCATACCAATAATTTAAAGCTAATTGCCAGAGCACACCAACTGGTTATGGAGGGATTTAACTGGGGACATGTAAGTACTTGTGCAACCTTTTGGATTTGTTTTGTGTGATTTTGTTGATGGGTGACTTATTCAAAAGAAGTACAAATTGTTCGAGGGTGAGATTTGTCGCCTGATTTTGCATTTGTTTGTTACAGGAGCAAAAGGTAGTTACCATATTTAGTGCACCTAATTATTGTTATCGATGCGGCAACATGGCATCCATCCTGGAAGTTGATGACTGCAAGGGCCACACTTTTATTCAGGTCTCTGTCTCTATCACACGCGCTCGCACACGCACATGAGCACTTTTAACACAGGCTATATTATAATTAGTATTAGGATAATGAGAGGAAATCCAGCTTTGGTGTGATTTTTTTGACTGTATTTTTTGTGTTGTCTCACTTGAAACTACAGTGGCCACTAAAGCTCACAAAGTACATGTCTGTTGTTGGTTGCAGTTTGAGCCAGCACCCAGGAGGGGAGAGCCGGATGTAACACGGAGAACACCAGATTATTTCCTATAAATGCAACACTTGAATTATTGCTAAATTTCAAGCGGCAAGGTGTGTCTGCTAGCTATTTTTTCAAGTTGGGAGCTATTCTTCCCAAATTAAAGAGCCTATAATTTTGGGATGATAGTGAAAGGGTGTTGGAAAGAATGTAAAATCAGCATGTAAAGGCTTCCTTTGACTCTCAGTTATTTGCTGAAATTGTACCGGTAAAGAAGGCTGAAGATCTGGTGAGACACATTTAACAAGCCTATCTGCCATTTTCTGCAGACAATTCGGTGTCCTCTTTCTTTTCTTATATGTTTTTTTGGCTTTCAAACCTTCATTTTGTATTTCTTTATTGTACAAGGGTGGTCCTCTAGGGTTGGGATTCTGTAGATTTAAAACTGTTGTTTTTTTCCCCCTTTTGGCCCCCCTGTTCGGCTTCTTCTAATTGGTGTTTTTATAATTTTTGGCATATTTGAATTCCTCTTTTTTTAGAATGGAGAGACAGCATCACTTTGTTTTTTTGGTAAGAAAAGTTAGCATAACATAAATAAAATTAAGCGAATACAACACGATGGTAGAAAGACCCCCTAGCATCATCCAAAAGCTGTAAAGAAATACAATCAGGTGCATTAGATAGTAAGGTAAAGTTCAAGTCACTATTGAGCCTTTGTTGGCTAGAATGTCTATGCACTTGTTTCCTTCTCGAACGCATCACATTCATACCAACATAAGTTGCCCCACCTAAAGCAAAACACACACACATGTATATTCCCAAAAATTGTATAATTTCATTGGAATGCAGCAGAATTCCACATTGAAAAGCAGATGTTTTGGATGGAGGACAGAAGAAAGCAAAAGTGTGTATGTTTTAGTTGGGGATTCTGGTTATCTGCTGAGGAAGCTACTGTGTGTTGCAGATTTGAGATGCCTCTAGACAGAAAGTGATTCCATTCCTTGCAAATTATTGATTTCAAAACCATGGAGAGAATATGCTTCTTTACTTCACTAAATGTCACACTAAATACATACTGTTATATATAGAGAGAGAGAGATATATGCTGATCAGAGTTACAGAAAGGTGATATGACCAGCCTATGCTAGTTATACAACTCAGGAGAAATGCTAAATCACGTCTATTAAGCGGTGATTAATAGTAGTATATGTATAAAAAAATAACAATGTCTGATAGTCTAAATTTTCATGATCCGAATGGTTCGAATGTCTCAAAATGACGTCGTTTTGGGGGTAAAATGACGTCGTTTTGATACATCCGAGCTATTCGGATTATACAAATTCGAAGTATCAAGGATTTTTTTATAAAAAAATATTATATAAAATTGTATAGAAATGTATTAAAATATGTCAAATGTGTATAGACGTAGTAATTTTTTTGACATTATTTTGATTTTTAACAAATAATTAGTGGCTAAAAATTTATGTTTATATGACTTGTCCGGTCCTTTCTCATCATAATATTAGATCACTTTTGGAGAATTTATCGTTCGCTATATAAATATTAAAAAGTTGAGATGAAAAATGTGCCCTAATTGTTTAGCACAGAATAAATCTATCACTTACCATTTTTTTCTTATAAAAAAATAAAAATAAATAAACTTTGCTGCAATAAACATGTGCTCACAATATATTTTATTTTTTCATAATAAGTAAAAAAATCAATTTATTTAATACTTTTCACGATAATCCTGAATAAACAAATAAGCATGTGCTCCAATTATTCTAAAGTCAAACATACATCTTTTGTCATTGCAATTCAAACCAAAATATATTTTTCTTGGCTCCCTGTCTTTGTATTTGACCCCGCATTTCTATCTTTTTTTGAAAGGGGAAACTGCACCGCAGGGCTAGTTTTAAAAAAAATTATAAATTAGTGAAAAAATGTATCAATTTTAATAATTAAAGTTATAATTTTTTTTTATGAATTTATAATATTTTTGTAGTATTATTACTGATTTGTAATTTTTTCTTTTTTAATAACATGTTATCAATATTATTATTATTATATAAAGCTTGATGTAAATGTCATATATTTCATTTTTTTAAAAAAATAATAATGATAATTTTTAAATCCCCTAAGTAAGAAAACTGATTCAGATGTAACATCTTAGCCATTCATTCGGGTACACCAGAAAGAAACTCGCCCCCAGAAAAAGATGTTTCATAATGTGTTAGGGTCTAAATTTTCATCTTTTAGATATCTGTGCATTAGCTACAAAACAGATAAGATTCATCTAATAATAGCATATAATTTCATTATATTTATATTTTTAAAAAATAAAAAATAAATATGATTTTAAAAATGGACTGTACATTTTTTTAAGAGAAAATTGGTTTAAGATCCTTCTCTAACTTTTGATAAGAGGAGAGGTACACAATAATATGTTTTGATGGCTAAAGTCCCTCAACTTTATTTTATGTTATAAAATACCTTATTTATCCTTGTTTGGATTTTGGAATATTCTATTGCTCAGTTCAAAAAAAAAAAAGACAAGAATATTTAGTTGTTGATTTCATGGTGGAGATTTTGGAAACTCGTTTTGCGGTGGAGATTTTGTCGGAGATTTCGTAGGGATTTCGCAAGTGTTGCAGTGTACTTGACGATAGAGATTTCGACGATCGTGTAGGTGTTACAATGTGTTGATCGCGTAGATTTTTCAGTAGAGTTGAATCAGGTATGGTTTCGATATAGATTCCACATGAATTTTGATTTTTGTTTTGAATTTTATGTAAGGATTCCGATTTGATATTAGTTGTTCGAGTGTATTTTTGCATTAGGTTTTTGTTTTCAGTTTTGATCAATTCGTAATTAAGTTCTGATTTGATTTTGTTTTCAGTTCCGATTTGATTTTGTTTTCAGTTTTGATCAATTCGTAATTAAAGAGAGGTTAGCTCAATGAAGTTGTTTATGATTTTTGGAGTTGATTTTTCATTTCCTGTTATTGATCAATTTTAGACACAGGCCATTTTGATAGAGTTGATTTTTATTTTTTGAAATTAATTTTGATTCTCTGTTTTTTGATCAATTTCAAAGAGTGTTGACAGTGTAGTTGATTTTGATGTTTATAGTTCATTTTTCGTGCTCTGTTTTTCATCAACATGCTGATCACTGATAAGTTTTGTTCTCTATTTTTTCAAACCAGAGAAATTTGTTTAAACTAGAGAAATTTCATTCTCTGCACTTTTTGTTGGTATAGTCCAGAGAAAATTGTAAGTTTGTTATTATAATCCAAACTTTCTAATGCAGATTGAATCTGAGAAAGTGAATGTAAGTTCTTAAATTTCTCTGGACTTTTATTTGTAGTTGATAGAAAATTATAAGTTTGTTATTCACTTTCAGTTTGTAGTTCAGAGAAAATTATAAGTTTGTATAAAATGAATATAATTTTTTGTTTCTCTGAGCAAAAGTTCTTAAATTTCTCTGGACTTTTATGTTGTTCTTGTGAAGTGTTTTTATGTTGAACAAATTATTTTTCTTGTTTTTTCTTTCAGTTTCGATGGACAGTGCAGTGTTGTTGCTGTGCAGATATGGGAATGATACTATTGTCATTAATGTTTCATGTGAATTGAATTTTGATGAATTGGTTGACATTTTGTATAAAACATGGGAGAATTTGAAACCTGAGACTATGTGTATTTCATATTCTATTGTGGGCCATCCGAATTGTATGGTTCGAAATAATATTGATTTTCTGAATATGTTGAGGGTTGTTTGTGCACGTGGTGTTGATATAGTTGATGTTTCAGGTAGTAGGTGTAGTACTTTTGATAAAGATGATGAAGTGGGGTCTAATTGGGTAGATGTTGTGGATAGTGAATATGATAGGCTGGTGGATATTGAAAGGAATTCACTCTCTAAGTTTTGTTCTCATCAAGAAAATGTGTTATTGTCAGTTGGTTGGCGAAATAATATTACGAGTGTTGGACAAAAGTTTGAGGGTGGTGTGGTTGAGTTCCGTACTTTTTTATGCAAGTATGCTATTGAGGTTGGTTTTCAGTTTACGTATGTTAAAAATGACAAGCTGAGGGTTACGGCAGAATGTGTATATAAGGAATCAAGGGGATGTATGTGGCGTGTACATGCTTCAGTTGAAAAAATAAATGGGTTCTTCTACATAAGGACTTTGAACAATGAACATACGTGTGGTGTGGCGGTTCGTACGAGTAAACATGCTAGGATGACTTCCAGCTTAGTTTCTGGGCTAATACTTGAAGAGGTAAGTGTAAAACCTTTAACTCGTCTAGTGGATGTTGTCAAAGAAATAAAAGACAAGTATGGGGTCTCAATCAGTTATAGTTGTGGTTGGTTGGGGGTTGAAAAAAGCAAAATGCAGTACATATGGGGATTCTTGTTTGTCATTCGATCAGTTATGGTGGTATTTTGATGAGGTATTGAAGAACAATCCAGGTAGTCCTTTTGAGTTAGATTTTGAAGATAACAAGCATTTCAAAAAAGTGTTTGTGGCTTTTCATGCATGCATTGCTGGTTTCAAATATTGTCGGTCATTGCTTTTTCTTGATGGAACATTTTTGAAAGGATGATACAAAGGAGTTATACTTGCTGCAACGGGGAAAGATGGGAATGAAGGTAATTGTAAATATATCTTATTTTATCTAAGTATGTGGATTTTCTATACATGTAGGAATTGAGTGAATGTGTTTTTCTCTGACACTTTGAATTTTCTCTGGTTTTGGCCACTGTGTGGGTTTTCTATGATTGTGGCCACTATGAGAATTTTCACTGGATTTTGGTCAGTGTGTGAATTTTCTCTAGATGTTGTCATTGTGTGAATTGTATCTGTAGTTGTTCACTAAGTAAATTTTCTCTGGATATTCTGATTGTGTGAATTTTCTCTGTAGTTGGTCACTAAGTCAATTTTCTCTGGATGTTGCCAATGTGTGAATTTTCTCTGGAGTTGGGCACTAAGTGAATTTTCTCTGGATGTTTGCAGTGTCAAATTTCTCTGGTTGTTTATTGTTCTAATCTTCTCTGCATGTGTATATCTAATATGCTTGTTCCTATTTGTTTTGTAGGTTTTTTTCCTATAGCTTTTGCTGTTGTTGATGCTGAGAATAAAGACAATTGGTGTTGGTTTCTTGAACATTTATGTGGAGCATTGGGATCAGAAAGGGTGATAAGTTTCATATCAGATCGACATTGTGGTATTGTGGAAGGAATTGCTAGGTTTTTCCCTAACTCCTTTCATGGATTTTTTCTTGACATCTAAACAGAAATTTGAGCGATAAGTTGTCATGTGGAAACACAAATTTGGTTAGGGAGACGATTGTGTCCGAGTTTTCAGAATGTGCATATGCGCCAACAAAGGTATCATTTCATTTCAAGTTAAATGAATTAAAAAGTGAGGGAGAAGACATTGTGAGTGTTTTCTTGAGAAGTTTACCATATGAAAATTGGAGTGATACATATTTTGAAGGGAAACGTTATGGTGAGATGTATTCAAATGTTGCTGAGTCA